AGATATTTCTTCTGGAACAGGAAAGCACTATGTCAACACAACGCCCTTAATAAGAAGGAGCTACCATCGGAGATCGGAAAAATAACATTATATGTATTCCTCGTATTATTTTCTTTGATATTATGTATTTCTTCTCGGAGAATTTTAATTATTGTGTTAGGAAAATATAGCAAAATAAAACATTTTTCAACGCATCATATATTTGAAAATATCTGTTATTGCTCGAATGCATTCCTCTGTGATGAAACGTATGCGCTGCACAAGTGGCTCGGAGCCTTCCAGGGGCAGCTTTCTGGATTCCCTGCCTGACTTCACGGCATGAGCCCTGTACCCCGGGCTCCGGCGGCGCCACGGGGTCAGTAACTGACCCCAGGGAGCAGGGACGCAGGCCAGCGCCCTGGCGTGGCCGCTCGGGACAGCTCTGCGCAGCCACAGCGTGGCGGGCGCTCCGTGCCTGACGGAGACGACTCCAGGGCTCAGGCCCTGCCTTTGGGAAGCAGGATCCGCAGCGAAGCCTGGAAGCCGCCCGTCAGCGGTCCTGGGAGAGCCAGAGGCAGAGGACACGTGGCCTCGCCAGGTAACTATGCCTGGTAGCCGTGGGGACCTCAGCGCTCACCCCACTTCCTCGGAACCTCCCTGCCCAGTCGCTGACACGTGTGACTGACGCTGGTTTTCCCCCGGCTCATCGAAACGGGGTTGTTTTACCGTTTCTTTGCCAAGTGTCGGTGATAATTCTGCATCTCCTAGGCAACCGGGGCGCCTCTACCTCCTTCCACCCCAAAGGCACCTCGCGCGGCTTCCATCAGCATTCGGGACCTGCTGCGCTTCCTCCACGCCTCCGGTGAGCTAATGTTCACGCACAAAAACCCCGCTCGGAGAAATGTCTCTTTAAGGGTGTGCTGTATTTATAGCAAATACATTAGCATGCATTTTTTTAATTGCCAAACTGTTTTGAATAATCATCTGTCAGTCACATTTTCCTTTGTGGGAATAGAAAGGTCAGCGAGTTGGCAAAAAAAAAAAAAAAAGTGACAGCTCTGGATGGGGTTTGGTAGGTGGGATAAAAAGTCACTTTTCATGTACACAGCTGCGCGTAATGAATGCAACATGTTGGAGGCCTATTCTTGGATCCGTTCCCCCACATTTTGAACTCAACTTTTCTTGGCAAGATTTCTGGGGCCGTACTGTGTATGTGTCTGAATTCCTTCAGCCAAAACCCCTTAATATGAAAATTCAGCAGGATTGCTTTTTGTGTAGATGTCATGACTCAAAATCCAGTCTGTTTCATGTAGCATATGACTCGGGACTGACCTCCGTATTACTATGAGCTTATTTTTAGCACAAAGTGATATTTATCTCTGTCATTTTCCAGAGCCACAGATAAAGATGGGCACATATATTATCCTGTGGACTTAGGGTTCACGAGGAATATGTATGGAGGAAAAGCAATTTTAAGTGAATTAACAGAAAGTACATATATCCCAAACCACAGCCTGACTTTTGCCTTAATGAGGAACAATTCTGTTGCAGAAAAGAGAGCCAAGGAATCCCATCCTAGGGAATCCGGCTTCCTCTCTCTCCCCCAGGAGGGGGTGCTCTCAAAATACGACCTCCCCTCCCCCAGACGAAGAAAAGCTCCCTCTTGCCTGTGTCAAGTTTTCCCTCTGTGTTCTGGAATTAAAGCTATATTTTAAAAAATAAACTTTCAGTAAGACTGCAAGTATGCTCTCAATCATTAATGTATTTGAAGGTCCAAGTGTAAAAACAAAACAAAAGTAACAACACACACTTTGTTTAATGGGTGTAAGTAAAATGCTGAATGTTTTCCCAAGTTAGTAAAACCCACGATAATGTTTGAAGTTAAAAATTATGAATCTGAAAAGTATTATTGAGCAAGGCCCTAGAAGTTACTCAGCCCATAAAGAATTTTAATATCAAATCCAAACATCAACCCAAAAAGATTCTGAAAATAAGCTAAGATCATGAACAGATGCCTCAGCATGGAAGAAAATTATAAATACAAATATGCAAAAGGGAAAGGCAAATATTTTGGAAACATATTTGGAAATTCAATATTTTTCAACAGATCATGAACATGGAGAGATTTCATCTTCAATCTGAAAGACTGGGAATTATTTTATAAATTCAATAATTAATCATTTTAAATTATATGTGTCAAAGTATTAACTCTAGGTTCAGGATCATGTAAAGTTTTAAAATATATCAAGTAATGGGGTAATAATATGGTTTTATACAGTATTATTTAAGAAAAGTGATCTGGGCACTAAAGATATTAAGGCATTGAAATGAAGGCTATTCTGAACTGCAATTACTTTACCACAAAAGAACAAAATTAATAATTAAATAATAATAAAAACAAATTAATCCCTATCTGGCTTTAACTTCTAATAAAAGTGTGCCTCTAACTGCCCAGAGTCATTTGACAACAATCACTCCTGCATGTTTTTCTTTCTGTCTCTGCAAAGACGCGCCCACGTGCCGAGGACGGGATGACAGGCCTCAGTCAGCGTCTGCGGTAGCTGTCTTAACTGTCTGCAGGTTGTTTCTTTGATTTTATAATTTCCTAGGGGAGAGCACCTGTTCTGTTCATCGTTCGTTTTTCAAAGAAAAAGTTTCAAACCCAGGCAGAATACGTGCTCTCCATGGTTCTCCAGGATGACTACCGGCTCCAACACGCATGCGACCAATTACTTTCTATTTGTCGCTGTAGAACATCGTAAAATATCCATGAGAACTGAATCCACGGTCCGTGTGGAAATACTGGCACTGCTGAAAGTCAAAAGAGACGTTGACTACGGAACCAAATTACATTTGGAACATTTTGGAAAGAAATGCACAATAAACCATTGGAGACGTTCTTATGTGTTCCGTGTGCACTTGGAGTGTTTTGATTCAAACCCCGCTGAGTCCATGGAGCGGAGAAGGCAATGCGTTTGGATAGGACGAAGGGAAGCTCGAGGCTTCAGGGGTGAGCCGGGGATCGACCCGGTCGTGACTAACCGTCCTTGCGGGCACGTTGGGACATCTGCGTTTCATCAGCAGCTCCGTAAAGCGCAGTGCGCACCACAGTGGAAGAATCTCCTCCGACCCCGCTTCCTTTTCAATGGAATGTTTGACCACATTTGTTTTATATGTTTGACAGGAAATAAATTACTAAAATATAGGAGATTATCTGAAGATCCGCGATCCTGACGGCGAAGGTTAACATGAATTAGACCAGATCGGCATTCGGGATACGCAATAAATAAAAATGCTTCCAGGCCTGGCCGTAAGCAAGCGGAGTCGCTTGGGTTGTCTGACCTTTCTCTTTTTTTCAGACATAAAAACAACAAACATGTCCCTTGATTGCTCCAGAGACTATAATTGAATTCAACATAATGTCCCCCAATGATATAAAATGTTATTTATTTTCCAAAGCCAGTATTTAAACAGCACAGCAGTGAGAGTGGAGCGGGGAAAAAAAAAAAAAAAAGCGT